TGCTGCTTGGCCTGCTGTGTTCATCCAGCCCTGCACCTTGTTGTCTCGGATTCTCCAGCATCTGCAGTTCCTACTATCATTGATGGGATACTGCACTGTTCATTGTACATTCTGCAGACACGCTGCACAGGAAAGACAACTTATGGAGCCCAGTGTAGCAGCACAGATCAATCAGACCAGCTTTGACCTGGATGGCTTTGTAATTCCAGTTCTGAGTTGAACTCTTCCTATCAGGCTGTAGACAGAAATACCAGCGCAGACTGCGCTGCAGTCAAGGATACAGAATGTGGTCTGGTGGGATCCTTCCATTCCCAACTGCTGATGGAGCTGCCCACATCCATCAGGGCACAGCCATTGCGCTGGGTCTGAGGTGGTGGATTGGTGAAGGAGGTTAGGAATACTGTGGTGAGTAACCCCCCCGCCGACTCCCCCCAAAGCCTGTCCATCATCTACAAGGCACGAGTCAGGAGTGTGATGGAATACTCCCCACTTGCCTGGATGGGTGCAGCCCCAACAACGCTCAAGAAGCTCGACATCATCCAGGAAAAAGCTCGCTTGATTGGCACCACATCCACAAACATCCACTCCCTCTGCCACCAACTGCACCTTCCAACCCATGACAACTTCCAACTGGAAGGACAAGGGCAGCAGATACATGGGAACACCAGACCCCTGCAAGTTCCCCTCCAAACCACTCACCATCCTGACTTGGAGATACATTGCCGTTCTTTCAGAGTATATGGTTACTGGAAAACGAACAGGATTAGATTTTTTTTTAAAAGAAGTAAAGTTTGTGGTAAATCCCAAGCACTCGTTATAGAAGCCTAAGAGGAGTATAGAAGGTGCAGGGGTACACTCAAAGAAATCAGGAACTTGAAGAGGAAGCTTGAAAAAACACTAGTTGGTAAAATAAAGGAAAATCCAAAGAAAGACATTTTATAAAATATGTTCTGGGCAAGAAAATAATTGGGTAAAGAGTAGAGCGCATTAGGGATTAATGTGGTAATCTGTGCAGGAACAAGGAGGTTATGATGGAGGTGTATATAATGTTAGACCACAGCTGGAGTACTGCGATTGCACTGGAGAAGGTGCAGAGGAGAATTACCGGGATGTTGCCTGGGTTAGAACAATTCAGCAGTGAAAAAAGATTGGATGAACTGGGGTTGTTCTCTTCAGAGCAGGGAAGACTGAGGAGAGAACTGATTGAGGTGTACAAACTTCTGAATAGCAGAGATAGAAACTTTTCCATGGAGTAGAGGGTTCAGTAGTGAGGGGGACATAGATTTAAGATTAGGATGTTGAGAGGGGACTTAAGAATTTATTCACTCAGAGGGTAGTGGGTATCTGGAACTCTCTGCCTGAATGGGTGGTAGAAGCAGGAGCTGTTACAACATTGAAAAAGTATTTCAATGATCACCTGAAAAGCCACAGCACACAAGGCTATGGTCCCAGTGCTGCAAAATGGGATTAAAACAGATAGTTCTTGCTGTCCAGTGAGGACTGTAAAACTTCATAGTTCAGTCCCATTTTCCAGCTCTTTGTACCTAACCTTGATATTGCTACACACTGCTCCACTCCAGTTCACATCCAAGTTTTGTTTTATAAATGAGGATTCTCCCGCCCTCTTTGACTGTGACTTCCAGACCCTCACCACCCTCTGAGAGAAAACATTATGCCTTAACTTCCCTTTAATCTGACCAATCACAGGATCAGACCATCTGGAGACCATTTCAGCCCCCTGAATCTGCTGTGCCCTTCAATAATGTCACAGGTGACTGGTTTGCGGCCTCAACTCGAGTTTCTTGCTTGAGCCCCAGAGCCCTCATAAATCAAGAATCTATCTCAGTCTTGAATACACTCAGGGGTCTGAGCCCTGATCTCTGAAGAACATTCTCTGACATGATCACCAGCTTAAGTGCTAGGGTCAAGGATGTCTCACAGTGGCTACAGGACCTGGCGATGGGTGGGTGAACAGTCAGTGGTTATAGTATACATCAGAACCAACAACATAAATGAAAAATAAAGATATGAGGTCCTAAAAGCAGAACATGTAGAATTAGGAACTCACTTGAAAGGTAGGACCTCAAAGGTGGTTATCCATGGTTTACTACCAGTTCCATGTACTAGTCAGTGTAGAAATAGCAGGATATATTGAATGAATGTGTGGCTTGAGAGATGGGTTGTTTGCTTTGTTAGAGATCAAAAGATTTTGATTGTTTCACAGAGAAATATTTTGCCTTGTAGGTGGTGTCATTAGTCTGAATAAACCGTGAGTAAATCCTGTATTTCCTAAAATACCAGAAAGGTGTGAAAGGTTTCAAATTGTAAACAGAAGTAGTTTGTAGCCCAAGATGAAAAGGGAGTTGGGATAAAGGATGTATAATTAGCTTTGTAGCCAAGTAGAAACAGTAATGTTTCCCATTGGCACGGAGAAAGAGGGTTGAGGAGGCATTTTGAGGTCAGATTGCAGGCTTCCAACAGAAACATAGCTTTTTCTGGTGCAATCTGGAACCACGAGAGGCAGACAGCAGCAGATACAGGCAGCCTGGCTTACATCCTTATTGCCAACTCTATTTACCACGTGGAAAGCAGCTGGGAACTTGTGCTCAGACTAAGAGAGCATATTTCAGATCCCTGAACATTGGGACTGGTTCTGGGGAATGGTGGGACAAGTACAAAGTGGACAGGTTAGACCTAGGTAGGACCGGGGCTGAAATCCTAGGGCATGTATTTGCTAGTGTGGTTGGGGAACTAAAATGCCAGGAGGATGGCAAGTTGTGCAAGCAGTCAGACAGAGGTGAATAAAGGACAAGAACAAAAGACAAAAAAAAATTGAACCAGCAAAATGATAGGTGAAATAATCAAGGGTATGACATAATTGGGATTATAGAGACATTGTTGCAGGGTGACCAGGGATGGGAACTGAATATCCAGGGATGTATTCAGAATTTAGGAATGGCAGAGAAAAATGTCAAAGTGGTGGAGGAGCATTGCTGGTTAAAGAAGAAATTAATGCAATAGTGAGGAAGGATATTAGCTCTGAAGATGTGGAATCTGCTTGGGCCAAACTGAGGAACACTGAGGACAAGAAACATTGGGAGCTCTTTATCAAAGCCCCTTCAAACTGTGGTGGTAGTATTAAGGATGGCATTAAACAGGAAATTAGAGACGCAAACAATGGAAAGTTACAGCTGTAATTACAGTGAGTTTAATGTGCATTTGGTTTTGCTGTGTCTAATCAGTAACAATAACAAGGGAGAGGGATTCCTGGAGTGTCGACAGGATGGTTTTCTGGTTAAAACATCAAAGAACCAACTAGAGAACTGGCCATCCTAGAAGGGGTATTGTGTAATGAGAAAGGAAGGCAAATGTGTAGATACAGCAAGCAGTGAGGACGACAAAGGGCACATTGGCCTTCATTGTGACAGGTTTCGTGTACAGGAGCAGGGATGTTGCTGCAACTTTACAGGGACCTTGTGACTACACCAGGAGTAGTGTGCACTTTCAGTTCCTTATCTGAGGAAAGATGTTCTGGCGATGGAGGGAGTACAGTAAAGATTTATCAGGCGGATTCCAGAGATTGCTGGACTGACATATGAGGAGAGGTTGAATCAGTTCAGATTATATTCACTGGCATTCAGAAGAATGATGGTGAATGAAGGTAAATTCAGGTAGGATGTTCCCATTGATGGAAGAGTCCAGGCATTTTGGGCGGGGGGGGGGGGGGGGGGGGGGTCACAATTAAAGAATACACATTTACGACTGAGATGAAGAAAAATGACCCCACCCAGACAGTGCTGAGCCGGCGGAATTCACTACCACAGAAAGCAGTCATTAGGCACAAATAAAATTTCAACCACACAATCACTCTTTCTGCCTTTCCAAAACACAAAATCTAATCAAAAGATGCAATTTGTGCATCAGGCAGTCCTTGGCTCCAGTTGTGGTGGAGCATGTGATCTGAGGATACTCTGAAAGTGCAGTGACATTCACAATTCCAATGGCTCATGAAGCAGAAAGCATGGTTACAGTGCGTTATGAAGTTTCTATTTGGGGGCTGCGACTTGACGTTCGAGGTAAATGACGAGGCGGTTACCTGCCGTGGAGTTTGCCCAAAACCAAGCCCGAATTGTTTGCCTGTTAGAAATCAAAAGATTTATACCATTTCACAGAGGCAGTGCCAGCAATCTGAATAAACAGTGAGTAAATCTTGTTTCCCAAAATCCCAGAAAGGTGAAAGGTTTCAAATTGTAAACAGAAATAGTTTGTAGCCCAAGATGAAAGGGAGTTGGGATAAAGGATGTATAATTAGCTTTGTATCCAAGTAGAAACAGTAATGCTTCCCATTGGCACGGAGAAAGAGGGTTGAGGAGGCATTTTGAGATCAGGTTGCAGGCTTCCTTATGTATTCATGGCTATCAGTTTTATTTGGTGCAGTCTGGAACCACATTAGAGGCAGACAGCAGGAGACAGAGGCAGCCTGGCTTACATCCAAAGCAGAGGATATTGCCAACTGTATTTACTATGTGGAAAGCAGCTTGGAGCTTGTGCTCAGACTGAGGCAGAGTTCACAGGCTCTCCGCTTGGAGCTGGAGTTACAGATCTACAGTGCAACCTTCAGAGTTTTGGGAATAGATGGGCCCAGGCTGGGGAATTAAAAAGCAGGCAAGCCGTGAAGAGTCGAGAATAGTGAGATTGGAGGATAAAATGAACATAGGCTCTGTAGAAAATGAGGAGACTGGGGGAGATGGTTATTGGAAATAACCACAAAAAACGACAGAGGAATTAAACAAACATTTTGCATTGGTCTTTAGTATTGAAGTACCTTCCACCATAAATAAATAATATGGGAGAGGAATTAAGAAGTAGTATTAGATTAACTAATGGGGGTAAAGGCAGTAAAGTTCCTTGGCCCTGATCCAAAAAGAGGTAGCTACAGAGATAGAGGATGCACTGGTTATAACTTTCCAAGACTCCTTTAGATTCTGGAAACTTGTAATACTGCCAGTGTGACAACACCCTGTGGTCCTAAACACTCCCATAAGAAGCATCTTCTCAGCACTTAAGAATTCTATATATTTCAATGAGTTTATCTTTCATTCTTATAAAGTGTGGAGTATGCAGTCCCAATCTGTTTAGTCTTTGCTCACAGGTCAACCCCACCCCCCACCATAGTGAGGATCATCTGAATAAACCTTCTCTGAACTGCCTCCAATGATTTTCTTTTCAAATTAAGGGAAACAAAACTGCTCACCGTGCTCCCAATGTGGCCTCACCAGCACCTTGTACACTTGCAGTAAGATTCCCCTCCTCTTATACTCTAACCCCCCTTGAAATAAGGGCCAACATTCCATGACCCTTCCTGACTACCTGCTGCCCATGTGTTAGCTGTGTTTCCTGCACACGTACCCCACCACACACACACCCCAGTCCCTTTGCATTGCAGCTTATCTCCATTTAAATAATACTGTTCTTTTTCTGCCCTGCCTTCAAAATGTCCCACATTTCCACTTTTCAGCTTTTTGCCAACTTATTTAACCTAGCCATATCTCTCTCTAAACTGTGTGAATTCCTTTCGCAAGCTGCCGTCCCACCTCTTTTAGTATCATCTGCAAATCATCTACAGTACATTCACTTCCTTCCTGCAAGTCATTAACAGATATTATAAAACAGTTATGGTCCCAGCACTGATCCCTGTGGGACTGCACTGGTCAGGGGTCACCAACCTGAAAAAGAACCACATATCGCCCCCCACCCCCAACTCACTGCTTCCTGCCCATGAGCTAACTCTCTATCTGTGTCAATTTACTAACTCCAACAGCACGGGCTCATATCATCTGACAACTTGTTGTGAGGTCCCTTTGCAGCTCCAAATACAACACATTTATGGGTTCTCCTCTGTCCACTCTGGTTCAGACTTGAAAAATTAATAAATTAGTCACACTCTGCTTGATTATATTATTCGATTGGAGATAGTTCAGAGAAGGTTCACGCGGATGATCTCCAGTATGGAGGGATTATCTTGTGAGCAAAGGCTAAACAGACAGGGGACTCCATTCACTGGAGTTTACAAGAATGAGAGGTGATCTCATTGAAACACAGAGGCAGGGTAAAAGCAGAGAGGATATTTCCCATTATGGGAGAGTCTAGGACCAGAGGGCACAGTCTCAGAATAAAGGGGCAACAACTGAAGACTGAGATGAGGAGGAATTTCTTCTCTCAGAGGGTTGAGTGCCTTTGGAACTTCTTGCCACAGGGAGCTGTCGGGGCAGAGTCTGGTGTATATTTAAGATCAAGACGGATCAATTCTTGATCAGGAGGATTATGGGGACAAAACAGGAATGTGGATGCGAGGAACGTTGGATCAGCCATGATCCTATTGTATGGTGGAGCAGGCTCCAGACGCTGAATGGCCCAATCCCTTCTCATTACTTATGGTCTCTGGTCACTTGAGGGGACACTGTAACAGGAGATTTTCAGATGTGCTTCAGGTTAAGAATAAAAGAGCAAGAATATAAGAGCAACATTCCAAATTAAAGGGTAAACTCTTAGTTTAAAGGAACAACTTGTTTAAGTTGTGACATCTGGCACCCCGAGCTCTCTCTCTCTCGTCGCTAACGAGCGGAAGCTCAATTAATTTTCACGGCCTCTGCCACAACAGAGATCACAAGATGTACTGAGCACTGGCTCCTGGGGAGCTTGCAAACTGTTCTCCACCATTCAGCTCTCTCTGAGTTGAGAAGTTTCATGTGTCCAGTAGAAAACAACAAGAGACAGGCTGTTTTCTCGGCAGGGGGGCTGGCGTTGGTGGGGGGGGGGATCTGGGAAAGGCGCCGTGAAATGAAAAGGCCAAGACACGAGTTCAAGGAACAACTTCTGTATTTCACACTTAACAGGAAATTAAACTGGATCCCAGTCACCAACGTTGCCTGGGAGCAAGTCTCAGGCTAATAGGTAGCTCGAAAAAAACAGCGGGGGGGGGTGGAGAATAAACTCTTCAAAGTCACGTGCCTTGTAAACCTCGGTGAAATGTACAACATTGATGGCAGCCTGCCCCCACAGGAAGTCCGCAAACATTCAGCGTTTCTGCTCAGGCGGCAGGAGCGACAGCACAGAACTGCCTTTTCACACAAAGCCATCCACTTGGATGCTGTCGTCCAGGGTGGCCTGGTAGATCTCGATGGTCTCCACGATGGTGGTGGGGATGGCCTCGCTGGACTCGATGATGGCGAAGGCTTCGCCGTACTCTGTGCAGACGATGTGGGGCTCGGCGTGGGTGCGCCGATGGCTGCGCAGGTTCGACGGGGTCTTGAAGCTCTTGCCGCACTTGCCGCAGGGGTGAGGCCGCTCGCCGGTGTGGATTCGGCGGTGGTCCAGCAGGTGCATGGACTGCACAAAGCCCTTGCCGCAGGTCTCGCACTTGTAGGGCCGCTCGCCAGTGTGGGTGCGCCGGTGCTCCCGCAGGTGGTTGGACTGCTTGAAGGCCTTGCCGCAGTCACCGCACTTGAAGGGCCGCTCACCGGTGTGGATGCGGCGGTGCAGCAGGAGGCTGGACGAGGAGCCGAAACGCTTGCCGCACTCGTGGCAGGGGTGGGGCCGCTCGCCGGTGTGCCGGCGCTCATGCAGGGACAGGCCGGCGGCGCTGGCGAAGCTCTTGCTGCACTGGCGGCAGCCGTAGGGCCGCTCGCCCGTGTGGTTGCGCTGGTGCAGTTGCAGGCCACCCAGTGAGTGGCACCGCTTGCCGCAGCTCTTGCAGTCGTAGGTGTCGGTGCAGCGGCCCGAGCAGCGGTGCTCCTCCAGCTTGGAGCCGTCGGCAAACTGGCGGCCACAGTCCAGGCAGCGGTGCGGCACCTCACCGGTGTGTACAAGCCGGTGCAACTCCAGCCGCCGCTGCCTGGTGAAGCCCTTGCCGCAGTCCGAGCAGGTGTAGGGGAGCTCGCCGGTGTGGCAGTATTGGTGCAGCAGGAGCTTGGAGGCACGGGCAAAGGCCTTGGGGCAGTCAGGGCACTTGAAGGGCAGGTCACCGGTGTGAATGCGACGGTGCTGCTGGAGGTTGGACGACTGGGCGAAGGCCCGGCCGCAGAACTCGCACTTGTACGGCCGCTCGCCGGTGTGGGTCTGGTGGTGCCGCATCAGGTTGGCCAGCGTGGTGAAGGTCTTGCCGCACTCGGCGCACTGGAAGGGCCGCTCGCCCGTGTGGGTGCGCATGTGGTTCTTGACGTGCACCGGCTTGCGGAAGGCCTTGCCGCACACCTGGCACTTGTGCCGCCGCTCGCAGTTGTGCAGGCGCCGGTGCCGAAGGAGCTGCGACTGCTTGCCGAATTCCTTACCGCACAGGCCGCACTCGTAGACCAGCACAGTGCTGGGGCGCCCCCCGGGGGCGTCCGGCGCGGCACCGGGCTCCTCCTGCGCTGGCTGAGAGCAGCCGGGGGCCACCGGCTCCTTCCTCTCGGCCTCCTTCCTGGCCGGACCGCCGGTGGTTTTACTGGGAGCGGCGGCAGAGGAGTGTGTGCGTCGATGATAGAGGAACTTGGTCATGTTGTTGAAGGCCTTGCCACACTCGCTGCAGCGGTGCAGCGGGTCATCGGTGTGCTGCCGCCGGTGCTGTACCAGCGCCGACTCGGTGCTGAAGCCCTTGCCGCAGTCGGTGCACAGATACAGCACCTCCCCCTTGTGGCTACGGAGGTGCTGCTCCAGCGATGAGGCCTTCTTGAAGGTCCGTTTGCAATCTGGGCAGTTGTGGGCGCGGCTTAGGTGGGTCTTCTGGTGCTGCAGGAGCCGGCGAGCGCTGGTAAACACTTTGCCGCACTCGGCGCAGTCCAGTGACTGGCCCTTGCCGGGGGCGGCACCGGGGGGCTGTGCCAGAGCCGCAGAATCATTCGGTAGCCGGGGGGCCTCCGGCTGTGAAGGCGGCTCACCGTAAGCGGTCTGTGTCCCTTCCAGAGCTGCCGGGCCAGTCACATTCTCGTAGCAATGATCCCTCACCTCCCCCGGCACCATCCCCGGTACCCCCTCAGCAATCCCGCCCACAGATCCCTGTACCAGCCCCGAGATCCCCACTGCCCCTGGCACCAACCCAGAGTTCGCCACAGCCCCCATTTCCATTCCCGAGCTCTCCAACACTCCCTGTACCAAGCCTGAGGTCCCCAACCCTCCAAGGGAGCCCGGCAGATCTGCTGTGCCCTTGGCGGTGTGGTTTATATCCAGGCTCTGGGGAACTGGGCTCACACTCTGCGGGCAGTGGTTGGTGCTGTCGCCCAGGCCCGGCCCCCAGTTGCCCTCCTGGGCTCCAGGCGAGGAAGCTGCCTGCTCTGGGACAGATCCTGAATGTTCCAGCCAGCCCTGGCGACAGTCCATGGTACCAGTGTGCATGGGGCATTCCTTGCCGTGGGTGGACTGGTGTGCGAGCAGCAGCTGGGGGCTGGGGAAGTCAGCACTGCAATCCCCACACACATACCGCGCTGCGGGTTCCAGCCCCGTGAGCTCTCCCTTGTTGTCACCGTTGGGATATTCGGTATTCTCGGCTGAAGCAGCTTTAGTGTGCAGGCCCTGGTGCTGCAAGAACTGCTCCATGGTGCTGAGGAACTGACCGCACTCCGAACACTGCTGCAGTTGTTCACCAATCAGCATCTGGTGCAAACTCTCCCGGTTGTGAATGGCAAACTCCACGTAGTCAGCACTGCCCAGGTGCTCCTTGCTATGTAGCTGCTGGTGGTACAAAGCTTCCTCGGTTCTGGTGAAAATCTGCAGGTGGACAACACAGAGAGACACAGACAGACAGAAACACTGTGAATGACCAGCTCAACTTTATACCACACCACCCTGTCCCAGACACACACACAGCACGCTGCCCTGTCCCAGACACACACACACA